AAACTGAAAAAAACAAAACAAAAAAAAAAAAAAAAAAATCAGAGCAAGTCAAATATAATGTGCAAACCAATAATTGATCATGCTTTTAAAATGCATAAGTACATGAAGTATTGACTAACCCTCCACTATTTTTTTTTTTTAAGTTCAAGTTTTCTGTAATGATTCCTAGCATCCATGTGTGGCCTCCATGTGTGGCCTCACGTTGGTCCAACTAACTGCCAAATCAGAGCTCACTTTGGTCTGGTGGTACCTGAAGGTCCAGTTATACGAGTTATGAATGAAATTTGGTTTATCTCAATAGTCTGATAGTTATCATATAAACCAAATTCCCAAAGTTAAATCGTTATATATCGACTCTTCCAAACCCTGTTTTAAAAAAAAACAAAAACAAAATCGGAAAAAAATTTGAGATTTTAATTATAAATCATCTTTAAGGAGTCTGAATATTATTTTTTAATCCCCAAAATTGAAAAATCATGCAATCAGATATGTCAGTTCTGAGGATTACCCCTTTTATAAAAGACATTATTCTTTGGAAAATATATGAGTTTTACCGAACATACATGGTTCGCTGAAAGGGTTTTTCAGAGAAGACAAGGAGAAGTAAGATATTTTTCACATAAAGAGGACAATATTGTATTCCTTATATTTTTTTAGTATACATTTTTTCATAAATTAACTTGTTACTTATCTACGAAAAACCTTTACAAACATTTTTGATCCTCTAAAAGAAAAAAAATGTTTGATCCTCTTTTTAAACATGAAAGAGAACAAAATAACCTTAAGTAGTTTTGCTTTAAAGAAATGTGTAACTTGCCACGTTTTTCATTAAAAAAAAAATGTATAAATTTCCTTTAAAAAACATGAGAAATGCAGCTACAAAAGTATTTTCGCAAAAGAAACTTTTAACAGTTAATATTTTCATGTTTTCACCTTCTTAAAAGTTTGATGATTTCATCTATTCTTACATCTAGGACTTGGAAAGAAGGGGAGTTCATCGTAGCTGATATTTCCTTTGAACATCAAGTCTGGCACGAGGGCTCTGAACTCCGTTTGATCTTGATTGTAGAATTCTGGCATTCCTGAATTGAGGGAACAGCAGAGGAGACGACTATCATCCATTTAATTCATTAAAGCTGCACAAAGGTTTTTTGCCGGTGCAGTACAGTGACAATTCACAAGATGAACCAATGCATGCTCTTATGTGTAAGAAAATTTCATTCTATTCTATCTTTTCTTTCACTAATTGAGCCAATATTATATTTACAATTGTAGTAAATCCTTTTGTTAGGACAGCACACAGCAATTTTTGTTTAGCTATCTTTCATTTAGAAAAAACTCTGTAATTAAAGCCTGCACTAAATTTGAATTCTTTGAATTTTTTGTGAACAGAAATAATTATAATTTTTTTTATCTATCTTATTGAAGTTTTTTTTTTATTCACATGTATTAGTTTTTGTACTTTTTCTTTTGATTCTATAAATGAGATTCAAACCTATTGTTGTTATCTGATCAGTTTTATTGATACAAAAATAAATGTTTAAAAAAAAATCATTGTGATGAATATAAATGAAGATAGTATTCAGATATTTGAGTAGAATCCGAGTGATAGAGTTTGAACAATGCTGAATGACATGATGCTGATATACCTAACCTATGCACCAATTGTCTAGTTGAATTTTGGTAACATGATACATGACTCTCCCCTGACCCCTTTAAACATTCTTTGTGTGGTTTGCCAGTTATTGAATAAACAATAATGATAGTTAATAATAGTTTTCTCTAGTTTGAATTGTATTCAGTAGAGTTTTTATTCATTCCTTTTAAAAGACTTTAAAATACATTTTTACTTTTACCCACCCATTTCTTTACATATTACTAAAAGCAATCATTTAAAAATAATAAGTTTAATGGAATTAATTATTTTTCATGCAAATTTACACATGTCTTCAACTTTTTTTTTTGAGGATATATACAACGTAGTGTTAACACTCTGAATTGAAAGTAAGGAGTGCTAGTATTTTTAATATTCATCTTTAAAAATAAAAATTAAAACCTACATAAATGAATGTTTCACCCCTCAGATTTTTATATACAAAGTCAATGAATAATTCTTGGAATTTATTAGATTGGCTCCACTCTGTGAAGTCACTGATACTTGAAATACGTTTAAATGATACTTGACATAAGTTTAAATGATACTTGAGCTACGTTTAAATGAGGCGTGTGAAAAAATATGAATTTTTTCATGTCATTTCAACCATGATGAGTTTGGTGGAGGAAGCAGCATGATCAATGTGTTCTGCTATGTTACCAATAATTTCCAATAAATGGGTTTTATTTAAGCCTACCAAAATTTATGTGAAAACACACATGAGGATATCAGTCTTGTAAAAGGATTCAAGAATAATTTAATAGTTATTTAAAATTATATATAAATGTTATTTTTATACATGGTTATTTTATACAACAAAATTTTTTTTTTTTAAATTATTGATTGTGTTGTCGATGAAAAAATGTTAAACAATATTTTCTTTATAGGAAATTCATGTTTTAAAAAAAAAATATATATGCTTATTTTAAAAAAAAATTCCATCTGGTGATGCAGAATATAATACTTAACTGTGTCACTGTGATGCGGATCGTCTTCTCTTTAACCTCAACAAATATTATATCAAATATGAATAGAAAGTGGGAAAACCACAAACCTTCACAGCTGAGTAATGTTGACAGTATTTACTGCTGATGCTCTTCAAATTTCATTATCAATGTTACATCATGTTTTTTTATTTTTGTTACTAACAATGTTTAAGTGTTAATTCAGAGATGGGATGATTTTTATGAGTGATAAGGGACATTTCATTATTAAGCCTGTCAGCTATTAAATTAATGAAGTATATTTGTGTTTAATTAAACCATATTTTTTTATATTTTTTAAAATTGTCTAATCTAGAAGCCATATCATTGTACAATTTATCAGGTATTTGTAAATTAATTTACACATCTGGGAACTGAGAATTTCTTTTATAAGAAATTTGATAAAATAATTTTCCTCTTTTTTTCTTATGAGGAACTTATTTTTATCAATATACTTTACTTTTTAATTTATATCAAGTACTGTGTTTAAAAAAGAATCCGAGATATTTTGATGATCACACTATTTTTGTTTTACCTTTATCAAACTATAATCAACGAAATGGCTCTCTGAAATGGGAATAAAGAAGCATGGCATATTGTAATATCTGCTATTATAATGAGGAAGTAATGTGCAATTAAAAAATTAATGCCTTAGTTTTTTATAAAAACTGAATCACTGAGCAAGTATTAATTACTAATGATCAAACAATTTTTTTATTGAGATTATCCTGAATGCCACTCTGATGGACTTTTTGTTTGATCCAGAGATTTTTGCAAATTAACTCCCAAGTGTTAGCCTATAGAATCACTTTTATTATTCGATGAAGTGATTATTATTCGGCTATGTGATAATTCGTTGTTTTTTTTAAACATGAAAAATTACTTTTGTTTGTACTTTTTTTAAAAATAAAAAAAAAAATTATTTTTTTTAAATTGTACATTTCTAATGACATCACACATTGACAGTACTTGGTGTCGTTCAACATGTTTAGCAAAGTTCTGTGCAGACGCCAAGTCATTAATAAAAAGAACTGGTCTATGGCAACTGAAAGTCTATACTGCCTCCGAGGCCATATAGGATTCTTATTTTTCAAACATGTTTTAATGCTATTCTTGCAGCCCCGTGTGTGAGAACTGCTTGTCTACTGTAACTTTTGGCTGCCTGCTTCAAGCAAAGTATTTAATGCATTGAAAAGAAATGAAATTTTTTTGTTCAGTGATCATATCTTATCAATTTTTTTACCCATAAATCAAATTGTCCAGCACCTCAAAAGTATTTTGAATTTTACACAAGCATTTTAATTGCTTTACAGTATGTACAACCCTATTTATATAAATTTATATTAAAAAAAACAGATTTTCTTTTTATATTGTTTTTTTATCAATGAAATGATAAAATGATTTCATCATTGAGCAAAATATGCCAAATTCACTTAGAACAATGAAATATTTTCTCCCCCTTATTTCCTTCTACCCAACCTGAAGGCATTCTCTCCCCTTTATTGTCATTACTTCCCTCTATTATGTTCAACTCTTGAAATTTGTAGCCGTAACTAACTGACCACTTGTTGTGACATCTTGGTTCCAAACATCTGCCAACATGAGCGTGTGTGACATCTGGGTGTGAAGAAAGTCCACTAGTTTCAAGCACAGAAAAAAACGTACATTAAATTAGAGACCGACCGAAAGTGATTTTCTGATTTCGGCCGAAGCCGAAAATAGGCCGAAAGTTTAAAATGACTTTCGGCCGAAACCGAAAAAATACCGAAAGTTTAAAAATGACTTTCGGCCGAAACCGAAAAAGGGCCGAAAGTTCAAAATGAATTTCAACCGAAAATGAAATGTTAAGATATTTTGAAATTCGTTCCCGCATACATTCCCGCATAGATTCCCATATGGAAAATGATGGGGAAAGTATAAATATTTACATTCTTTTTATAAAAAATGAGATAATCGTGAATATTAATAAATAAAAATCTATTATAAGGGTCTCAAACTCGCGGCCCGCGAGCCATTTATGACCCGCAAGACGATATTTTGCGGCCCGCTACATGACAGAAAAGTTTAGTGTAAATGCGCCGGCCCGTTTTCCCCATTCTCATATCTATAACGTGACTCTCCGCGACGGTTTCAGTGGAATCTCACCGACTAGTCTAATTCTGATTATTTTTTTAAATGTTTCTATATATTTTTGTATGCAACAGTGACTAGGTGGATGCAAATGAATCCTAGTTCTTGAGAACCCTTAATGATTTTATTGTTATTTATAAAGGTTGAGCAGATTGTAACTTTGTAATCGCTTTTTTGTGGATTACTTGATGCGGCCCACTCTCATTCAGACACTACCTTCTGCCCCCCCCCCCCCCCCCCCCCGGTTGTTTTATTTTTGGGCCCCCTGATGATTTGAGTTTGAGACCCTTGATCTAATGAATACTTTGGATTTTACTATTTTAATATAAAAGTAATTTAAATTGCTTTACAATTTTTTTTAATTAGTATTGTAGGAGAAAATTTGGCAAAAATTGGGGTGGGGGGGGGGGGAAATTAATGCAAAATATTTTTTTTAAAAACCTGGTCTCTAAAAATTGTGGTTCTAAAAGATCGCTTAATTTGTTTTTAAAGATTGTTTAGTTGGTTGTTATTGATAGGTTAGTTTGTTCTTAAAGATTGGTGAGTTTGTTCATAAAGATCGCTTAGTTTGTTCTAAAATATCTCTAAGTTTAATCTTAAAGATCGCTTAATTTGTCTTAAAGATCGTTTAGTTTGTTCTTAAAGATCGTTTAGTTTGTTGTTAAAGATCGTTTAGTTTGTTGTTAAAGATCGTTTAGTTTGTTGTTAAAGATCGCTTAGTTTGTTGTTAAAGATAATTGATTTTGTTCCTTAAGATCGTTTAGTTTTCTGTTAAAGATCGCTTATTTTATTCTTATAAATCAATTAGTTTAATATTAAAGATCATTTGTTTTGTTCTTAAAGATAATTTAGTTCGGTCTTAAAAATCGTTTAGTTTGTTCTTTAAGATCGTTTAGTTTGTTATTAAAGATCGCTTAAATTGTTCTTTAAGATCGCTTAGTTCGTTTTAAAGATCGTTTAGTTTGTTCTCAAAGATCGCTTAATTTGTTCTTAAATGTCGCTTAGTTTGTTGTTAAATTTCGCTGAGCATTAATTGACCGAAAGTCTAAGTCAATTTCGGCCGAAACCGAAGAAAAACCGAAAGTTAACTTTTCTCTTTCGGCCGAAACCGAAATTAAGCCGAAAGTTAACTTTTAAGTTTCGGCTGAAACTGAAACTTGGCTGAAAGTGATAAAACGGCCACTTTCGGCGCCGAAACCAAAGCCGAAATTCGGTCGGCCTCCACATTAAATATTTCTATTCTTTATTTAATTCGAATGATTAAGTTTTGTATCCTCTTTTTTTGTGTGAAATGTTTACGAACAATTTTTAAAAATGAT